GGGCGCCCTGCACCCCCTTCCTAGGCCAGACGCGTGGCTCGGCTGATTCTGGTTTCTCCCGGCCCCTCTGCCAGCGTCCCCCGCCTCCTCCCCGCAAGCCACACCCTTCTCCGGGGTCCAGCTGCCCAGCGGGGTCCCCCCCACCCCTCTGCCTAATCCTGCCCGCCCTCCCCGCCCGGCCACTGGCTCTGGCACCCCAGTCCCGCTTCTCCCCTTCTCGGGCTGGATTTCCCGACCCAGTGACCAGAGCTGGAGCCACGGGCCGCTGGGCCTAGCGGGGTCCACCCACCGCCCCGTGGGAGCCTCCAGAGCGCAGGAGTCAGACCCCCCCTACCCCTCCCCGGGGCGCTGGTGCCCCCCCCCACCCCGTCTTGCTTCTTTGAAGAAGTATTTTATTGTTCAAGAGAAAGGCAGCCGAGTCCACAAGGATTTCACCTACACCCTCAATCCTCACCCAAGGATTCTAGGTTTGGGGAGGAGCCAATGGATTTTTAAAACAAACAAACAGCAATACACAAACGATAAACAAACTCAGTGACCGGCCTCTTGTGGGTAGCCTGAAATTCCAGCCGCCCGTGCCCTGGGAGAGGAATCTCTGCTTTCTGGGAATGTGTGTGTGAGTCTGTCCTTACATATGAACAGGTATTTACATTCATACACACATACGACTGGAAATGTGTTTCTTGGGAAACCTAGTATCTAATGCTCCAATGAAATCAGAAAAGAAAAGTGAATTTAGTTAATAGTAATATCTTAGTGTTTATTGATTAGTTGTGACAAGTACCAGGGTACTAATAGATGTTTGAAAAACAGGAATTTTCTTTCAATATAAAACTATTCTAAATTTTTAAAAACTCTTGCTCTGCCTTCTTTTATATTAAAAAAAAATCGGTGGTAGAGATTAAAAGCAAAGTCTTTACATGTAGTCAAGAGCTTGCCACTAAGAAATACTCAGAACTGCCTCTGCTGTACATACAAAAATCATCTTCCAAATTAGATACTACTTTCACAGGGTATAAAATTAACCCCCCAAAATCAATGGCTTTTCTGTATGCCAACAATTAGAAAAGCATAGCTGAAATCAGGAAAGCAACTCCATTAACTCCATAGCCCCACAAAAAAATAAAAGACCTAGGAATTAATTTAACCAAAGAACTGAAAGACCTCTATGATGAAAACTTTAAAAACCTGAAAAAGGAAATCAAAACAGAACTTAGAAAGTGGCAAAACCTCCCATGGAAGGATTGGAAGGATCAACATCGTGAAAATGGCAATACTTCCCAAGGCTACCTACAAATTCAATGTGATACCTATCAATATTCCAACCTCATTCTTCAAGGAAATAGAAGAGGCAATCCAAAAATTCATAGAGAACAATAAAAGACCCCAAATAGCTAAGACGAGCCTCAACAGAAAGAACAGTGCTGGGGGAATATCAATACCAAATTTCAAATTCTACTACAAAGCCATAGTAATCAAAACAGCTTGGTCTGACACAAGAACAGACCTCAGGACCAATGGAATAGACTTCAAAATCCAGAAATGAACCCACAGACCTATAGCCATCTACTCTTTGATAAGGGAGCTAAAAATATAGAATGGAAGAAAGACAGCCTCTTCAATAAATGGTGCTGGTAAAATTGGTAGAAAACTTGTAGAAAACTAAAGCTAGCTCCTTATATATCACCCTGCACCAGAATCAACTCCAAATGGATCAAAGACCTCAGAGTCAAAGCAGACACCCTGAAAACATTACAGAATGGAATAGGAGAAACCCTAGGCCTCCTTGGCTCAGGTCGAAATTTTCTGAATAGAGACCCAGAAACCCAACAAATCAAAGAAAGGTTGGACAGGGGCTGGGAAGGTGGCTCAGTGGTAGAGCGCTTGCCTTGCATGCATGAGGCCCTGAGTTCGATTCCTCGGCACCACATAAGCAAAAAGAAAAAAGCCGAAAGTGGCGCTGTGGCTCAAGTGGTAGAGCGCTAGCCTTGAGCTGAAGAGCTGAGGGACAGCGCCCAGGCCCAGAGTTCAGGCCCCACGACTGGACCCAAAAAAAAAAAAAAAAGAAAGGTTGGACAAATGGGATTGCATGAAATTGCAGAGCTTCTGCATGGCAAAGGACATAGCTAGCAAGATCAATAGAAAGCCCACAGATTGGGAGAAGATTTTCACTAGCCATGCAATGGACAAGAGTCTCATATCTAAAATATATCTGGAACTCAAAAAATTAAATCCCCCAAAAACAAACCTTCAAAGAAACAACTGCCCAATAAATAAGTGGGCTAAAGACTTAAAGAGAAACTTCTCTGAAGAGGAAAGAAGGATGGCCAATAGGCATATGAAGAAATGCTCAATCTCCCTAGTCATAAAAGAAATGCAAATCAAAACAACATTGAGATTCCACCTCACCCCAGTTAGAATGGCTATAATCAAGAACTCTAATAACAACAGATACTGGAGAGGATGTGGACAGAAGGGAACCCTACTGCATTGTTGGTAGGAGTATAAACTTGTTCAACCACTTTGGAAAGTAGTATGGAGGTTCCTCAAAAGACTCCACATAGAGCTCCCCTATGACCCAGCAATCCCACTTTTGGGCATCTACCCAAATGATCACAAACAAGACCACACTAAAGCTACCAGCACAACTATGTTTATTGCAGCATTATTTAACATAGCTATGATATGGAACCAACCCAGATGCCCCTCAGTAGATGAATGGATCAAGAAAATATGGTATATATACACAATGGAATTCTATGCCTCCATCAGAAAGAATGACATTGTCCCATTTGTTAGGAAATGGAAAGACTTGGAAAAAATTATATTAAGTGAAGTAAGCCAGGCCCAAAGAAACATAGGTCCCATAGTTTCCCTTATTTGCAATAGCTAGTGTATGTCTGAGACAAGCAGAAATGGTCAGATAAGTTGATGTTAGGTGAAATGAACCCCGAGATAAGTATTCAAATGTTTTTTTTCTTTCTTGCGATTGTTTCTAACATATTTATAAGATGATTTCTTTGTTGCTTTGTATGTCCCTCCCCCATGGTATAACCCCTACTTTCACTGTATTTGATGTTGGTATACTTTGGGGAGGGAAGGGAAAAAACAAATTGTTTAAATAGAGTTACAAGTGGGTCCATTGCAACAATGAGATGTACAAGACGTTATGTTGAAAAATGACCTTTACAACTTTGGCCGGGAGTGGGAGAGTGGGGAGGAGAAGGGGGGGGAGGAGATGGGAAGGGATGGGAAGGGGAAACAAAGGAGGAGGTAACAATGCTTGATAAGAAATGCACTCATTACCTTGCCCATATAATTGTAACCCCTCTGTAAAGTATTTTCACAATAAAAAAGAAAAAGACAAATTAGATACTACTTTCAGAGGAGAATGATAAACAATATTGTGCTTTATTATTTTAATATAAAAGGTATTAAAATCTTAGAAAGTTAAAAAATGACCAAAATAATAAGTGTAAGATTTTTAAAAATTAAGCATTGAAATTTATATTATTTTCAAATTATTCCAGGAAATTAAAATTAATTATCTGTGGAATTAAATGAACATGAAAAAATTCAAGTTACAATCTATGAAAAGCAAGATTCTACATGCACCTCAGACTGCAAATGCTTGTATGTAGTACTTAAATATAACCACTAGATGTCAGGATTTCCCTTCATTTGTTACTATAAGCCTCGCTCAGATTTTAATTTTCCGTGTAAGATCTAAGATTCATTGAATTCCCATTTTCAGAAAAGATACTGAATCCTATTCAGATCAGAAATCACTGTTGCAGGAGACCAAATTAGGTACACACAGCCCAGAGAAAGTCTTACGGCATTTGAATCTATGATGAGTGGAGCTGAGGGCTTTGTGTTGACAAGCAAATAGGGCCCAGCTGCAATCTACTCACATTCATCCAGAACCATGGCTATGGTTCTCTTCCATGTGGAAACGAAAGTCAAGGTTAGCCACATTTTTGTAAATTGTCATGGGCATGCAGTTTATGGAGACCATCAAATAGTTATCTTACAGAGTTTTGGCTAGAAGTCGGTGTACTGATTTCCATCAAAGTTCCTGTCCATACATGCCTACTGTATTTTCAATGCATCATTGTTTCCTGAGACAGTATTTACCCATAGTTCTTAAAAATGTGCCACATACCAGCCCCTATTGGAAGCCCTCAGTACACATTTATTTCTCTATTTGAGCTTCACAATCAGTTAATGGAAGAGAACCGCTTACAGTTCCATCCTGTAGTCTAGGAAACTAAAGATGAGAAAATCTGAGACTGGCAGGACCTTTAGCCACATGGCTTATCCATCACATACTTCAATCTATGCACAACATGAGTCCCACCCCTGAAGCCCTCTCCAAGTGATAGAGAGACATGGATGCTTGCTCTGTTTGTCAAAGGATAGAAAGAAGTTTCAAGACTGATAGAGCTGTCTCTGGAAAGAGATGGTAGGTGAAACATTGCAGATTTATTATGCAAAGTATAAAAGTCACAACATCCTGGGCCACCTAGGAGGTCCCTAAGGTCACCTAAAATTACAGCACGAGGGCTGGGAAGGTGGCTCAGTGGTAGAGCACTTTCCTTGCATGCATGAGGCCCTGGGTTCGATTCCTCAGCACCACATAAGCAAAAAGAAAAAAGCCGGAAGTGGCGCTGTGGCTCAAGTGGTAGAGCGCTA